AAGCCGCAGGGTCTGGGACTTAAACCATGCTGTCAGCCATATGGGAAACCAATGCCTTAACCACCATGCCACCTGCTGACGCTGTCCATTCGTTCTCCAGTGTTGGGGTAAAGATAATTCCCTGTCCTCTTTAAATCACTTTAAATTTGGACCCAGCTGAGAATGGGGCACAGGAGTCATGTAGCCTGCGATCAGATCAGTCATACTGCTGTTGACACTGGGAGGCGTACTTAGAGCTCAGCTACAGCTGTGCTTTCCGACAGTTTTCCCCAAGTTGTAGGGGCTCCATCAGAGGGAGAGTCGCTGCTTCTCACCTCCACATTTCAGCCACAAGAGAGGGCAAGACCTCAGGCCTGGGCCCTGACCTCTGACCCCTGATCCAAACCCCGGACCTGCCCGCATGGAGGCAGAGCCCAGTAGCTCCCCAGTGGCTCAGCTGAGCCTGGTGGTCATGCGCAGTGAGTGGTTCCAAAGTCACCACTCAGCAGACTCTCGATCTTCAAGGGAGCAGCAGGTGCAAATAGACAATGCTCCATTCTCTCAGCCTTTTTTTTTCTTTAAAGAATTATTTCAGGGACCAGCAGTTAGCGTAATGGCTATGTTGCTGGACTCCCATGTAGCCAACCATGGTTCGAGTCCTGGACCCGGTGGCTTAAAACTCATTCCCGGCGTGTGTGCCAAGATCCTGAGAGGAGAATGGAGGAGAAGGGATTGTGGCATGGCAGTCCCCCCGAGGGGTGATTTCTCGCTTTCTGTCTCTCTGTCTCTCTCTGTCTGCCTAGCGAGTGCATGCTTCCTATAGCAAAAACCTCTCCAAAAAAAAAAAAAAAGAATTACTTAATTAACTTATTTATTTCAATTTGACCAGAGAGGGACAGAGAGAGAGAGAGAGAGAGAGAGTGAGAGTGAGAAAGCAAGCCGCCAGGTCTGGGATTCGAACTGCAGTTTACCATGTGGGAGTCCAGAGCCCTTAACCACCACACCAGCTGCTGGCCTCATCTCTCAGCCTTTTTTAAAAAAAAGATTTAGTTTGTATTTAACTTTATTTATTATTATTATTATTATTTTCCAGTTTGATCAGAGAGAGACAGAGAGAGCATGGGAGAGAGAGGGGGAAAGTGAGAAAGCAAGCCACCAGGTCCAGAACTCAAACTGTGGTGGGCCATGTGGGAGTCCAGCACCCTTAACCACCATGCCATCTGCTGGCCCCTCTTGGCTTCTTGAAAGACATTGTTTCTACTGCGTGCGTCAAGTTAGGAGGCTATGTCGAGTGCCCGTGAGTCCGTGGCCATGTCACCTTTTCGTTTCTTCAGCTGACATCAGCAGCTGTGGGCCTATTTACCACCTAAGGGACCTCTCGGTCTCCCATGCCTGAGGGGATGTCCCCTTTTGGTCTCTTCTGCTGACAGTAGTACCCACAGGCCTGCTCACCCCTCCCCTGGGGCTCCTGGTCAGCAGGGTAGCCTCATCTACGACCTCAGAGCAGCAGCCTCCCTGCTAGCTGGTGTTACCCCCACGTGTGGGCTCGGTGGCCTGGCCCAGTGGAGCAGCCTTCCCTGTGGAGTCTAGCTTTTGGCTGGCTCTGCTGCTATCCTTGAATGGTTTTGAATTGGCATTATAGGTATTTTCTAGTTTCAGTGAAGGTGGCATTTCTGTTTTCTGTTTCTTGTTCTGTGATTGGGTGGGTCCAAGAGAAAGAAACGACCTAACATTTAAATGACTACACCTAAACTGGATCAGTGTAAAGCGATTGCAGTAAGGGCAGATAATAGCACGAGGACTGTAGCTTGCCCGATTACTTGCCAGATAACTGTCGTGTTACTTGGAGGTCTAAAGTACATTCCTTTCCCGTGAGCGTGCAGTAAGTGTTTGTGTCATTATTGCTTCTTTCCACAGTGGTCCCTCACATTACCGATGCTATCCAGGACTGGGTTATGAATCAAGCTGTGGTGCCTGTGGACGGTAATAAGGAAGAACCCCAAATATGCGTGATTGAGGCAAGCACAGAACATTTCTTTATAAGCTTATATCCTGCAGGGTCCTAAACATCTGCTTTTCATCCACTCACCGAGTAGTGCAGAATGCCTCCTGGGAGCTGGATGCTGGACTAGGAGGTGGGGTTACAAGTCAGTGGACGTGAGTGATGTTAAACAGACACTCACATGTGCTCCTAGGCAGTGTGCAGTGATCTGTCTGAGCCTCCTCTGTGCCGGGGCCTGGGAGGATCACAATCTCTGCCTGTGAGGAGCTTGCCAACAGCCTTGTCCACACACGACAGGGTGTGTTCCAGTGCACGCTATGTGAGAAGCATTTGCAGGGTGCTTTGCTTTGGAAGGTAGAGAGAGACTGACTTAGGGAAGTCGGGTGGGAGGTGGGAGGTGGGAGGTGAGCAGAGATTACCAGCTGGTTTTCTTTTTTTTAAAGAATAATTTAATTTCTCATTATCCTTCAGTTTGACCAGAGAGAGAGAGAGAGAGAGAGAGAGAGAGAGAGAAAGAGAGAGAGAGAGAGAGAGAGGGCAAGCCACCAGGTCTGGGACTCAAACCGCAGTCAGCCATGTGGGAGTCCAGCAGTCCAGCACCTTTTTTAAAAAAAATTAATTAATTATTATCATAATCTTGTTTATATTACATTGAATCACATATAACTTTACAGTGTATTACATTTCTTTTACCAGAAGAAATACCATGCATGTCAGTCAATTCAGAAACATTAAATTCCCCATCTTCATCATCCAATAGCTTTCCATTCTTTTCTGATTATCATTTAAAAAAAAATAATTATTTTATTTTATTTATTCATTCTTTTTTTTTTTTTCTTTATTTAACCAGAGAGAGACAGACGTTGAGAGTGAGAGAGAGAGGAAGCGAGAAAGCAAGCCACCAGATTCGGGACTCCAACCGTCAGCCATGTGGGAGTGTCCAGCACCTTAACCATCACGCCACCCGCTGGTCCCAATTATCATTATTATTCTAATTATTATTTGGAAGTCCAGCACCTTAACCATCATACCACCTGCTGACTCCAGTACCAGCTTTTTATTATTTGGAGAGGTTTTTGTCCTGCAGGGTGCATGCTCTCACCAGAGAGACAGAGAGAGACAGAAAGCAAGAAATCACCCCCTGGGGGGGATGGCCATGCCATAATCCCTTCTCCTTCATTCTCCTCTCGAGATCTTAGGCACACACGCACATGCACCCGGTGTGAGTTTAAGCTACTGGGTCCGGGACTTGAACTGCGGTCGACTATATGGGAGTTCAGCGACATAGCCATTACACCATTTACTAGTCTCAACCTAGTACCAGCTGTTTTAAGAAAGAAAAAGTTCAGGGACCAGCAGTTAGTGTAATGGCTATGTTGCAGGACTCCCGTGTAGTCGACTGTGGTTCGAGTCCCATACCCGGTGGCCTAAAACTCATGCCGGGCGCGTATGTGTGCGTGCCCAAGATCCCAAGTGGAGAATGGAGGAGAAGTGACTGTGGCATGACCATCCCCCCTGGGGGGTGATTTCTTGCTTCCTGTCTCTCTGTCTCTCTCTGTCTGGCGAGCACATGTGTGCTATAGCAAAAACCTCTCAGAAAAAAAATTTAAAAAAAAAGAAAGCAAAAGTTCAAACTTGCCACTTGTTAACTGCTTCCACTCTCTGTCCTTCCTCTCCATATGCAGAATGAGAATGACATCCGTGTCCTCCTCATCTAAGTGTCACTTGACCCAATTGCCAGGCAGGAGTACAGAATAATGAATCATTTGGGTACTGGAGTCAGGTTTCCCAAGTTCGAATTTCTCCGGCAGTGTATAACTCAGTGGTTAAGAGTCCAGAGCAGACTGCTTGGGTGTGTAGCCTGCCCTAACCTCTGAGAAGTTTGCTTTACTTCTCTGGGCCTCCGTTTACTTATCTGTTCAATGGGGATAATGATGATACTTAACTCATTGTTTTGGAGATTAAGTAAGTCACTATACTTAGTGCTTAGGATGATGTCAGAGCTAGAGTAAGTGCTCAAAAATTATTAGCTGGTATTAAGATGCCTGCATGACTTGGCAATTCTTGCAGCCTCAGTGTATTTATCTATAACCAGATGAGGGAAAGTGAAAAATAACCCCTCAAGGAGGATGGTGAGGCCACAGTCTCTTCTCTATCCTGCTCTAGGGATTTTGGGCATGTGCGCACACGCACCTGCTGGCCCAAATATTGAAGATTTCTAAACACTGTTAACAATGGTGATCTGAATTGGCAGAGGGACTGCAGTACCACTGTGGGCCATGCGAGGGCAGAGGTGGATAATACTGAAAGAACTTTCACACTGCTGATTCCCATAGTACCTACCCCCATCAGGAAACAGAAACTGACCCCATATGGTTTAAAGTGCAGACCTCTTTTTTTTTTTTCAACGCTTAGAACAGGTTTATTTTTTTTCCATTAAAGTCTACGCAGTATAGTTAGTGTGCATTTACCCTCCTTGCCCTCACCAAGTTCCTGATTGCCTGTGTTTCTTACAGTTTCATAATTAGGTTTGTTGTTCTCTTACAGAAAGATCATGTGTTTGTGTCTGTTCCTTTCCTAGGAAGCTTGATTTTTAATTACACTTGTCCTCTGAACTGCAGTTAGTAACTCTTAGTCTGGTTCTACTGTGATTATGCCGGCAGGTACACCAACACTGTTAGCCAGGGCTTATTTTGAATTTTGAGGCTTTCTCTCCAGGGCTGACCACTAACCTAAACCCTCAGGGCTGTGCGCAAGGTGCTGAGCATGCGCCCTCATGGGATTTACCGCCTAGAGGGATACAGAGACAGCAAACCAGGACACAAATGAACGAGTGGTCACGTGTGCTGTGTTCCTAGGAACGGCACAGACAAAGCACTGTGTGAAGGGGTAGCAGGATCTGGCTGCTTTAGGTGGATGGTCAGGGTCAGCCTTTTTGAGGAGGACACATCTCTCTCAGGGCTGACGGCCAAGGAGAAATAAGATGTAGTTGAAGAAGGAGGGTGGGAGGGCCTGGGATGAGGACCTGGGATGCCAGTGAAGCATGTTGTCTTCAAGTCTTCCAGCACTTCACTTTTAGTGTTGAGCATGCAGTAATTGCTTAGATGCTAGAAAATTAATTTTAAAATCCATGTGATAGTGTGTAATTATTTAAATATGGCAAGGGTTAATGGGTTCAGGTGAATTTTATCCTATTCTTTTTAAAGAATTATCGAGGACCAGTGGATGGCGTGGTGGTTAATGCACTAGATACTCCCACATCGCTCACCATGGATCGAGTCCTGGACCTGGTGGCTTGCTTTCTCATTTTTCCTCTCTCTCTTTCTGTGTTTCTCTCTCTGGTCAAATTAAAAATGAATGAATTAATTAATAAAATAAAATAAAAAAGATTTATTAATTTTATTTCTTATTATTATATTTTAAAATTTGAAATTAATGTTTATTTTTCTCATAATCCATATTTCAACTTTTTTAAAACTTATTTATTTATTTGTTTATTTGACCAGTCAGGGACAGAGTGAGAGAGAGAGAGAAAAAGCAAGAAAGCAAGCCGCCAGGTCCGGGACTCAAACTGTGGTCAGTCACTTGGGAGTTCAGTGCCTCTGACTACCATCCCACCTGCCAGTCCCCTATTATTATTATTTTTAACTTGACCAAAGAGAGAGAGGGAAAGTGAGAAAGCAGCCACCAGCTTCAGGACCCAAACCATGACCAGCCATGTGGGAGTATAGTGCCCCAACCACCATACCTCCTGCTGGCCCCTATCCTAGTCTTAAGTAACATGCTTAAGTAACTTTACTGGAAGCACATTGTAAGCGTAAGCTGACATTTATCAGAGGATTACTGTCAGGACTATTCCTGGGGCTTTTGGTACTATTTGTTTCAGAAAACCAGCATGCTGTAATAATAGTGATTTAATTCTAGTAGTACCAACATTAAAAGGAGACTGTTCAGATGTATGTAGGTGTGTGTACGTGCATGGAGAGAGAGAGAGAGAGAGAGAGAATGCTCACTATTTCAATCCAGGCAGGACCAGGTATCTTTTACCTTTCTCATGTTGTCACTGATTTGGCCTCTGCCTTCTATCACAGTCCACGGCAGAAATGAGCTTATCTCCTCTGTGGCCTATATTCTGGATTTTTTTTTAAGAGAGTTTTTTTTTTAAAGAATTACTTTATTTAATTTCATTCATTGTTATTTATTTATTTTTTTTTATTTGACCAGAGAGTGACAAAGAGAGAGAGAGAGAGAGAGAGAGAGAGAGAGAAAGAGAAGGAGGGTGAGAAAGCAAGTCGCCAAGTCTGGGACTCGAACTATGGTTGATCCAGTGCCTTAACCACCATGCCACCTGCTGGCCCCAAGAGAGATTTTTTAAAAAATTATTTTATTTAACTTTATTTATTTGTTTAAGCCACCAGGTCGGAGAAGTGAACTAGGGTCAGCCATGTGGGAGTCCAGCACCCTCAGCCACCACACCACCTGCTGAGCTCCTTAAGAGAGATTTTTCCTATAGAGTGGGTGTGCTTGCTAGAGAGACAGAAAGACAGAAAGCAAGAAATCACCCCCAGGGGGGATGGCCACACCACAATCCCTTCTCCTCCATTCTTTTCTCAGGATTTTGGTGATGCACACATGCACACACGCCTCCCTTCTTAATGGTCGGTTTAATTGTATACTGTTTACCTGGCTAGGTTATACTCCATCCCTTTTTTCTTCTTTCATTTTCTTTTTAATTTTAAAAAATAATTATCTGTTTAATTAAATTAATTAATTTATTTATTTATTATTTTAAATTTGACCAGAGAGAGACAGAGAGGAAAACTGAGAAAAGCAAGCTGTCAGCTCCAGAATTTGAACCGTGGTTGCCAATGTGGGAGTCCAGTGCACCAACCACAGTGCCACCTGCCAGCCCCTCTTCTTTCACTGTCAAGTCTCCATTTCCTCTTTCCTTTACTTCATCTCCAGTTTAAATGTTCACAATTTTCTTTTTAATAGCTTTATTGAGGATTCATTTATATAGTGTAAATTTCACCTGCTGTTACTTTATAATTCAGTGATATTGAGTGTGTTCACAAACTACCATTCTTATGCAACCATCAAGCTTCAGGTCTTGTGCTTGAGTGATTAAGAATTCTTCTACTAATCTGGGTACTGTGGAAGATATTGGGTCATTTGTGTCTTTTCGTTTGTTTCCCATCCCCAGCTGGGAGGCACCATCGGAGACATAGAAGGGATGCCGTTTGTGGAAGCATTCAGACAATTCCAGTTTAAGGCAAAAAGACTGAATTTCTGTAATATCCATGTTAGCCTCGTTCCACAGGTAAGCTTTCTAATTAAGTGTGCGTACAGCAACTTTGAAAAGTTTTCCTATGATATTCTATGTGTCCTACATCTGAAACTGGGGAGACATTAATTATCCAGAAGAGCCAGGTGGCCAGTGTATTGACAGGGATCCATTTCTTTTCAGCCCAGTGCTACCAAAGAACAAAAAACTAAACCCACACAAAACAGTGTGCGTGCGCTGAGGGGGTTAGGCCTGTCTCCGGATCTGGTGAGTTAAGGATGGTGGGTACGTTTATCTCTAAAATCTCTTAGAGTAGAACCTCCGTTTCCTAATCTATAACATCTGAGTCTTTGGTAGCTCTCAAATGGTTACTGTGACAGCGAGCCTTGTGTATCTGGGAACCAGACAGCTTATTCTCATATCCTTGAATGTAGCTTAAATCGGCCATTCGTTCTTCTCCAGGCCCTCATTTCTGTGTCCTGTTGGGATTTTGGGCACACATGCACACATACCTGGCATATTTTTGCTATAGGGCGCGTGCGCTCGCCAGACAGACAGAGAGAGACAGAGAGACAGAAAGCGAGAAATCACCCCCCAGAGAGGATGGTCACGCCGCAATCCCTTCTCCTCCATTCTCCTCTTGGGATCTTGGGCACGTACGCACACGCGCCCGACGTGAGTTTTAAGCCACCGGGTCCAGGACGTGAACCGCGGTCGACTACGTGGGAGTCCAGCGACATATCCATTACGCTAACTGCTGGTTCCCTACCTGGCATATTTTTAAAGCTTCCAAGGCCTGGATATAAACTTTGTGGTTGGGATGTGGGATCCAGCCCCACCCCCTTTTTTTCCAGAGTTTTTTTTTTTTTTTTCCCCATGAATCAAATTTCCCCAAAATGGGAATTTTATTGATTACTTTATTCCCTCACAAACAGACCAACTGTAATCAAATGAGGTGAACATTCACCTCGAGATTTTGTCGTCTTCCTAATAGAAAAGATGAAGCTTAGAACTGGATCACTTGACCCTTTCTCTCCTTATCTCCTCCCAGTTCCCAATGCTCACATCTCTTACTAGCCAGCGTTCTCTTAGATCTGCAGTTGGGCTCAACACATTCAAGCCTCAGCACAATCTTCTTTGTAGTTTTTGCCTTTTTCCAGAAAATTGGCTTAGTCTGTCCACCATGGCCACTCTGCTCCTGTCATAACGCCACTGTCCCTAAGCACACAGAGAATCCCTGCCCTTTTTGTGCGGTGTCACTTTATGGTGCTTGCCACACTTCTTACAGAAGGTCCAGCGGGTTTTGGGGACGTCCACCATCCTTGCGGGCCTGCTATCTGCACAGAAAGCTTTTTTCAGAGGTTTTTGACTTAGGGCACGTGCACTCACCAGAGAGAAGGAGAGACAGAGACAGCAAGAGCAAAAGTGATAAATCACCCTTCAGGGGGGATTGCCACAATCCGTTCTCCACCATTCTCCTCCCAGGATCTTTTTTTTTTTTTTAAAGAATCATTTTTAAAATTTTTATTTATCTATTTTTTAATTTGACCAGAGAGGGACAGAGAGAGAGAGAGAGAGAAAGAGAAAGTGAGAAAGCAACCCACCAGGTCTGAGACTCGAACCATTGTCGGCTATGCGGGGGTCCAGTGTCCTTAACCACCGTGCCACCTGCCGGCCCCTTATGAGCTTTGATTCTGTTCACCAGAGACGTCTTGCTGTTTCAAGTTCTTACTGGTAGCTTTGTCTGATTATACTTGCTTATATTAGTGCTCAGACCAATTTCGAATAAGCTAGTGCAATGCCCAGAGTGAACAAGTACATATTTGGTCAAGTCTATTATGGTAAAAAGAAATGGATCTAGTAGCATCTTCCTGAGAATGAATGGCCACACGAACAGTCAGGCTCCTCTTTGCTGACCCGTACACAACTGGCTTTGACAGATTATCTGCCGATGCACAGCACCCATGGAGATGGCTGTGAAGGAGAAGATTTCCATGTTTTGTCACGTGAAACCTGAACAGGTGGGTGCTACTCTTTAAACTCTACTATCTTGCAGGTACTTCTGCTGATGCCAACATTTTACACCACTGCAGTGACCCCCAATTACTTTTTGCAGCATTTAGGCAAGCGTTGAGGGGCTCCTACTTAACCATGACTCCCTTGCCCTTAAGTGAACCATCTTGAGATTCTTGATTCCTTAGATAGGATGTGTTTCTTTGAATGCTCATTTCTTAGCTATAGGCATGAAACCAGGGAGGGTTTTTTTGTTTTTTGTTTTTTTTTTTTAAAGAGAGATTTTTGTAGGGCATGTGCACTCACTAGAGAGACAGAAAGTGAGTTATCACCACCCAGGGGGATGGCCACGCCACAACTCCTCTTCCAGTCTCCTTTTGGGATTTTTGGGCACTTACGCACATGCACCTGGCTTGAGTTTCAAGCTGCCGGGTCCGGGACTCAAACTGTGGTCAAGGACATAACTATTATGCCATCTGCTCTTCCCAGGGTGGGGGATTTTTAACTCACAGTCAAACTTCCAGAAAGGGAAGTGAAGTCTCCTTTCGTCTTTTTACCCTGTCTTTTCTTCTGAGACGCCTACTGCTTTCAACGTTTTCTCCTTTGTACTTGTTGCAGCTTAAGTCAGTCTACACCTCACAAACATGTAGACATTCATACTATCGCCTCTGATTGCATTTGTGGCCTCAGTTCACGTCATTGCTCCAGAAACCATATTGTGATTTTGGCTCAGGCCCTCTGTTCTTTTCCTTTCCTTTCCTTCTTCCTGCCTTCCTTCCTCCCTCCCTCCTTCCCCCCTTCTTGCCTTCTTCCCTCCCTCTCTCCCTCCCTTCTGCCTTCCTTCCTCCCTCCTGGATCCTTCCTCCCTTTTTGCCTTTCTCCCTCCCTCCTTCCTTCCTTCCTCTCTCCCTCCTCCCTCCCTTCCTGTCTTCCTTCCATCTTTCTTTCATTGACAATAGGGTACGTGCATGTACCAGAAAGAGAGAGAGGAGGAGGGAGAAAGTGTCCCGATGAAGCATGGTGGTGCCGCAATCGCTTCTTCTCCACTTCTCCTTCCTGTCAGGATTTTGGGCACATATGCATACATCCCTGGTATATTTTTCAAGCCAGCAGGTCTGGGATTCAAGCAGCAGTAGGCCGTATGGGATCTGGATGTTTTTCCCTTTTTTAGAGATTTTTGCTATAGGGCATGTACGCTTGCTGGAGAGACAGAGACAGACAGAGAGACAGAGAGTGAGAAATCACCCCCCAGGGAGCATGGGCATGTCTCAATCCCTTCTCCACCATTCTCCTCTTGGGATCTTGAGCACATATGTACATGCACCCAGCATGAGTTTTAAGCAACCAGGCATGGGACTTGAACTGCAGTCGAATGTGGGAGCCCAGTGATGTAAGCATTATACCATTTGCTGGTCCTGGGATCTGGATCTTTTAATGACTAGGCTGCAGGGCCGGTCCTAGGTCCTCTGTTGTGCAAGACTTTCCAGTCTGGCATTCTGATCGTTAGCTTTTCTTTTTTCTTTCTTTCTCTTATCTCTGTCTCTTATTCCCAGTAAGGTGCAGGGATAAGTGATCGAAGTTGGCTCTAGTTTAAAAAGGATAATATGAACAGCACTCAGGAAAAGGGTGAGATTTGCCAGAAACCTTTTATCTTTAGATTGCTGTGGGTTCTCTGAAGTCTAAAAGCTACGCTGTTAGAGTAGCATGCCTTGGGAGGCACTGGGAGGAGGAGCCCGTGTGTGATGCTTCCGAGTCCTTCAGAGTCAGTACGTGTGTCTGGGCCATGTGGAAGCGTGTGATGGCAGACTCAAGGGACTCCTCTCTATTTCTACATTGTGCCATCTTGTGTACCCCTTTTATTGGCAAATGCTACTTTGTGTGTGTATTAAGTAAATAGAACTCAGTTTCTGAAATGGAAAGAATAAAGCTTTTTGAATGGGATTGCTGAGAACTCTGAAAATAGTATATATGGTCTAAACTTTAGACCATATAACACCTGTAGGCTATTTAACTAGAGATTCTGAAGAATGCACTATCCCATCAGTCCACAGGCTAGATTATTAGTCATTTTTTATCAGTATTTTTTTTTTTCTGATATGAGTTCATTCTCCCACACCTTACTTCTAGTCTTCTCATGACGACTGGAAGAATCGGCATTTAAAGCTCTTCTCATGGGGCCGGCAGGTGGCATGGTGGTTAAGGGCACTGGACTCCCCCCACATGGCGGACCGTGGTGTGAGTCCCAGAACTAGAGGCTTGCTTTCTCACTTTCCCTCTCCTTCTCTCACTCTGTCCCTCTCTGGTAAACTTAAAATAAATAAATAAAGTTAAATAAAATAAATATTTTTTAAGAAAAGCTCTGGGGGACTGGCAGATAGTGTGGTGGTTAAGGGTATTGGACTCCCACATGTTCAACTGTAGTTCGAGTCCCAGATCTGGCGGCTTGCTTCCCCACTTTCCCTCTCTCTCTTACTCTCTTTCATATGCTCTGTCCCTCTCTGGTCAAATTAAAAATGAATAAAGTTAAATAAAATAATAATTTTTTTTTTCTGAGAGAGAGTTTTTGCTATAGGGCATGTGCGCTCGCCAGAAGACAGAGAGAGACAGAGAGACAGAAAGTGAGAAATCACCCGCCGGGGG